TAAGGTTTCCCAGTGCCGTTCTCTTTTTATTTTTCTTAAGGCAGCAGCTGTCGCCGGGATCTCCGTAAAGTCTTCGCAGCGCGTTAGCGGCGCTGGTTTTTGTCGGGTGCGCAGATAACGCACCGCTCGCTCGAGGCTACGTGCTTACACGTAGTTCTCACCTCTTCTGTCATCGTGAGATATGCTTGCCGTTCTTCTTCTACTTCCCATGATAAGCCCCTGGGTTTTTGGAGTCCACAGATGTGACAAAACTAGCGGAAGGGAAGTCCACTCAGCTACAAATCCGCCCGTGCCACACCAGCCCCATTTCCTCGCGAGCCCACGCTCTGCCCGTGTATCTCCCCCCCCCACCCATGCAGCCAAACAGAAGCTACTTGGGCACGCGTTGGCTGGGCATGCGTGCTCGATGTCCCAACCAATGCATCCTCACTCAAGCGTTGTTAGTGAGCACCTATTGACGCTTGCATGGCCACGATCCGCGACGAAGTGGCAGCGAGGTCACCGCAGCCCTTGTGCCAGGCTAGGTGCACTCTGAGGTCATCACACGTGATGTGTCGAAGGCTCGCTGCTGGTAGGGGGTCAAGAGGCAGACCCAGGTGCTGTGGGTTGACTGCGAGTGAGGACTTTGTATCCGTAATTTTCTCGAACCATGCAAAGAAAATCCTCACGCATACACACGAGGCAAAGGTCCCCCATATATACTCTTAGTTTTTTCGGTAAAGTCACGTAGGTAAAAAAATTGAATTTAAAATTAATGAAAAAATAAAACAATAATTAAAAAAAATCACGACGTTTCGGAGGCAACACAAGTCTCCGTCATCAGGTGGGACTGTCACAGCCAGATTTGATGCAGCAAATCTGGCTGTGACAGTCCCACCTGATGACGGAGACTTGTGTTGGCTCCGAAACGTCGTGATTTTTTATTTTATTTTTATTTTTATTACTTTTTATTTCAATTTTTTTTACCTACGTGACTTTACCGAAAGAACTAAGAGTATGAATCATTGCAGTCACGAAAGTTTCAAATCTAGAAGTCCCCCATATAGCCTTAGCAAACTGTTGGGGCAAGTACTGTTGGCGAACACTTATGAAGGTCGGCACGTCACACGAGGGGGTGGGTGGCCACCACGCCTGGCCGCCTTTGGTTCCCTCGTGGCGATGTTTACACACTCCACAAGATACTCATTTGAGGCTGAGCCGACCTATGGGAGGCCCAGGACCGGTTGTGATAATCGTCACTTGTGTTGGCCGTGAGCGGCGAATCGAACTCGGGCCGCCGGGTTCGTAGCGCAGTGCGATAACCATCACGCACACACACATACACACGCGCGCACACACACACGTGCCTACACGCACACACGCAGACACGCGCACACTTTACATCGAGTCTAAGCAGGCTTTGTGCATTGTGCTCACACCACTGCAGCCCGGCTCCTTTCCTCATGGAGGCGTTTAGCCCCGGTCACACGGTGGGCGAGGCTAAGCTGGCGCGTAGCAGAGGCATCCGTACTGCTCTTTGCCAATCGACCCAGCACAGGACACCCGTTCCATCGCCCAGTGGACAAACGTTCACGGAGGGCGAGGACATTTTTTTTGCTCGACGATTCCATCGAGGGTTTACAATGCGCCCGCATTTGTGTGCGCGTGGGCGCATGCGTCCGGTTGTGCGCTAGCATTGTGTTAATAACAAACTATTAGACGACCAAACTCTTTTATTTACGTTTACCAGGTAAGGCCCACTGAGCTATATTGGTATTTTTCAGAAGCGACTTTGCTATCACAAATCATAGCTCAACAAAATTGGCTTCTCAAGTCGTATTTTTCGTGAACCATTGCAGCCAAATACGCGTGATGTCGATTCTAAATGTGAAGGGGAAAAAACCGGAGGAAAGAAATATCCACTCGACCACGGTGAAGAAAAACCGCAAACTCCAAATACACAGCAGGCGTCAGGGTTGGGATCGAACCCACAACCTCCTGCATACCAGGCGAGGGAGTTAACATCTCCTAGCCACCGCGTTCGCACCGGGCACCGCTGCGCGGGCCGACCTTAATGGGTGGTCACTAACAGCACTCGCCCCGCCCGTGTGTACGGGGGGGGGGGGACACTTTGTCCGTGTCGACACAGCGGGGCGGTACAGGCGGTGCGCGGACGCCAAGTCGTCTCGGTCAGCGAACCCACAACACCTGGGGTGGGCGGGAGGGTCTGTGCCGTGACCGCTTTGGCCGCAAGCCGTCGACACTTCGCACGCCCCCCGAGGGGTACGCCTGGCCTGGCAAGAGCGCTGTGGTGATATCACCGCCGGATATTGGCGAATTTTAGCCATCGCTGCTGCTGCTGTTGTTGTTGTTGATCGGTGTCGTGGACAGTTGCTACCATGTCCCGTGGGGTGGCATCCAAGCAAGCCCAAGCCCCACCAGCATCATCCCTCTCTTTTGACCGGTTAAATCATTAATTCATTGACAATCGCCATCATCATTAGCAGCTACGGTTGATCCCCTGCTGGATGAAGACCTTACAAAGCTGCCGCCACCACAACCTTTCTCGATCCTGCAATGCACCACCTGCCACGAAAACATTTCGCTGCTCCGTCTCCTGGACGTATTTTCGGACACGTTCTATTCCTCGGCTGCCCACTCCGTTATCATTCTTGACCATCGGTAATCATCACTTGTGGCCTTCCCAAGCCCACTTCCTTATCTTAACGGTTTCAATAAAGTCTCCGAGTCGCACGTGTGCATTATCCACGCGTTCCTTTTTCGGGAAAAAAGTCTCCTGAGGACGTGAAAAGTCCAGTTTTTTTGTTCGCTGCGCAAAAATAGACCACTCGAGAAGCGAAACAATTCAGTCAAGTTGTTGGATGGGGTACGCGTCTGAGGAAACAGGTGAATGGGTCACGGGTGGATGGGGCAGAGGATAGGTCTGTGGGTCTCCGTGTGAGTCTGTGGGTCTCTGTGTGAGTCTGTGGGTCTCTGTGTGAGTCTGTGGGTCTGTGTGAGTCTATGGGTCTCTGTGTGAGACTGTGGGTCTTTGTGTGAGTCTGTGGGTCTCTGTGTGAGTCTGTGGGTCTCTGTGTGAATCTGTGGATCTGTGTGTGAGTCTGTGGGTCTCTGTGTGAGTCTGTGGGTCTCTGTGTGAGTCTGTGGGTCTCTGTGTGAATCTGTGGATCTGTGTGTGAGTCTGTGGGTCTCTGTGTGAGTCTGTGGGTCTCTGTGTGAGTCTGTGGGTCTCTGTGTGAGTCTGTGGGTCTCTGTGTGAGTCTGTGGGTCTGTGTGAGTCTATGGGTCTCTGTGTGAGACTGTGGGTCTTTGTGTGAGTCTGTGGGTCTCTGTGTGAGTCTGTGGGTCTCTGTGTGAGTCTGTGAGTCTCTGTGTGAGTCTGTGGGTCTGTGTGTGAGTCTGTGGGTCTGTGTGTGAGTCTGTGGGTCTGTGTGTGAGTCTGTGTGTCTCTGTGTGAGTCTGTGGGTCTCTGTGTGAGTCTGTGGGTCTCTGTGTGAGTCTGTGGGTCTGTGTGCGTCTATGGGTCTCTGTGTGAGACTGTGGGTCTTTGTGTGAGTCTGTGGGTCTCTGTGTGAGTCTGTGGGTCTCTGTGTGCGTCTGTGAGTCTCTGTGTGAGTCTGTGGGTCTGTGTGTGAGTCTGTGGGTCTGTGTGTGAGTCTGTGGGTCTGTGTGTGAGTCTGTGTGTCTCTGTGTGAGTCTGTGGGTCTCTGTGTGAGTCTGTGGATCTGTGTGTGAGTCTGTGGGTCTCTGTGTGAGACTGTGGGTCTCTGTGTGAGTCTATGGGTCTCTGTGTGAGTATATGGGTCTCTGTGTGAGTCTGTGGGTCTCTGTGTGAGTCTGTGGATCTGTGTGTGAGTCTGTGGGTCTCTGTGTGAGACTGTGGGTCTGTGTGTGAGTCTGTGGGTCTCCGTGTGAGTCTGTGGGTATGTGTGTGAGTCTGTGGGTCTGTGTGTGAGTCTGTGGGTCTCTGTGTGAGTCTGTGGGTATGTGTGTGAGTCTGTGGGTCTGTGTGTGAGTCTGTGGGTTTGTGTGTGAGTCTGCGGGACTCTGTGTGAGTCTGTTGGTCTCCGTGTGAGTCTGCGGGACTCTGTGTGAGTCTGTGGGTCTCTGTGTGAGTCTGTGGGTCTGTGTGTGAGTCTGTGGGTCTCTGTGTGAGTCTGTCGGTCTATGTGTGAGTCTGTGGGTCTCTGTGTAAGTCTGTGGGTCTGTGTGTGAGTCTGTGGGTCTCTGTGTGGGTCTGTGGGTCTCTGTGTGAGTCTGTGGGTCTATGTGTGAGTCTGTGGGTCTTTGTGTGAGTCTGTGGGTCTCTGTGTGAGTCTGTGGGTCTCTGTGTGAGTCTGTGGGTCTCTGTGTGAATCTGTGGGTCGCTGTGTGAGTCTGTGAGTCTTTATGTGGGTCTGTGGGTCTGTGTGTGAGTCTGTGGGTCTCTGTGTGAGTCTGTGGGGGGGTCTCTGTGTGAGTCTGTGGGTCTCTGTGTGAGTCTACCTGACACCAGATGGTGGGAGACTGTTGGGGCTCAACTTGGAGGTCGCCACGTGTCGACCGGCTGTGGGACCTGGCGGAGGTCAGAAAGCGTTGGCAATGAGAAGCGGCGGTGGCATCAATGGCTTTAGCGAACATGACAACGTCGTGATCTCGATCAAGGCAAGACATTAACTAGGCAGTTCTCCCCTCTTCCGGTAGCGTGATACATTACGACGTTTTGCATCTCAGCCGTGGCAACGCTATTAGGAGGAACAGCCCCAAGCCATCCTGTGCCACATAAACCCATCTCCACGCAAGCCCGCGCGCTCTGCCCGTTTATCCTCACCAATGCGGCCAAACAGAAGCTGCTTGGGTATGAGTTGGCTGGGCATGCGTGCCATGTGATTGTACCTAAAAAAAGCGAATGCCCTGCGTACATGGGGGGAGGGGCAAGCACCGTTTGACGAGCATCTATTGAACACCAGCGTTGCACGTGAAAGGGTCTTGTTGGGCATCACCACGTTGGGCAGCTTTTCCGCCAGTGCCCACGCTTACACGTTGGCACCTGAGTAGCCGCTTGAAAGGCCGAGTGGACCCAGGGGGAGGTGGCAACCTCGGCCGGCAGGCGGAACACAGGAATTCCTGTGGATGCAAAGAGTCCCGGAGATCTTGGCACGGCCAGGCAGCAGTGGCACAGGAGCAGAGTCATTTAAGCCAGCTGGCTCCAACGGCACGTTGGCGCGGCTCCATCGGGCGAGTAGGTAAATAAATAAATAACGGGAATAAATAATTTCTTTTAGAGGAGAGAGGGCCCGAGATTTTGAAACAATGGAATCCATTGTGCCTCTAACCGACGCTGCTGGAAAATCCGTTGCGAATCTCGTGAGGAGTTTTAAAAGAGAGAGAGAGAGAGAGTGAGCCATGTTTCAAATAATAATAATAATCTCATTCTGCCGAAGAAACATGTGCGATGGATGGACGAAGCCGCGTTGGGACACGGAGAGAGAGAAAGTGAGGGCTCCTTGAAGTTTTGCAAGTGGAGTCGTGAGCAAAGCGCTAAACCAGAGAGTGCCACCGGTGTGTGAGACACACACACACACGCAAAGGTCTCGAACTCAAGGTGCCATCGTAATAATGAGTTTATTCATTAGCGTATTACCCTGGAAAGCCACACTGAGCCCAAAGACTCTTTTTCGGGAGTAAACCCAATTGTACCTGTTGTGGGTTTACTCTCCAACACACCGGCGGTGTGTGATGAGCGAGTAACTAATTGGCCACGTTTCGTTTACGTGACAAACATTTAGTAATTGGCTGCGTCGGGCGGGCGATGGTGGTTGCGGTTTTGAACAATCACATTTTTATTTACGCAGTCTAACCCCGCCCCCCCCCCCTAAAAAAAAAACCCTACTAAATAGTGGAGTAATTTCACAACGGCGTATACAGCAGTATTAACCAGGGCGGCCCGACCCCTGACTCCAGCAGCGCCCCCCCCCCCCCCCCCCCGCCGATGACAGCAATATGCACAGATACCAATTTAAGAATGTGTTGAACTTACAGGAGATCCAGGACAGGTCCATGCGCTATTGTCTGTCCACGGTTGGGAATCGAATCCAGGTTGCTGGGTTTGTCACGCAATGTGCTAACCACTGGGTTGCAGGTCTCACTCAAGCACACATTAATGATATATATGCACCCGCTACTAAGTGGTAGCTTTTTATCGGATTGAGTGTCATCCTCCACGTGAAGCAACTTACTCGGTTTTTCTGATCACAAGAATTGGCCGGGAATCAAACTCAGCTTCTCAGGTTCACAGCGCAGTACGCTCCTCTGCGATCCGTGGATTGGAGGGGCAGACCCAAGCTACAGCCATCGCGTCGACTGTCAAGAAAAGTAATTGGGGCTTGGGCCAAAATACGTCGCTAGAGGAGGTGGCGGCTCGTGTGGGAGACTGGCAGCGGCGTTGTCCGTATGTTGAACTTCTGTCGCACCGTACGTGGCCGACCGTGCCAATCGGAGGTGCGAGGAGGGAACGGGCCCACCGAAAGCACGTCGACAGCGGAGATGGAGGAGTTCGTCCACCAGCGGATAGACCATGAGCTGATGCCGGCACGGATAAAAAACTTGAGCAGCCGTTTCTTGCAACAACTCTCGTTCAGTGAACGCGCTTGGACTCTTCTGAACGAAGGAGGGCCACTTCCTGAAACATAAAACCCCTTCCGTGTTTGTCTTTCTGTGTGTTACAAAACAGTGACGATGTTGACCGCGCCGAGACTTTTTTTGTTGATGCGTGCTTGCGCGCCCAAGCAGGCCCATGAATATTTGATTAAGTTTCCATTCGATCTCTAAAGTCACGAAAAAAAAAATCACAGCTGCAGCAGAGTTCGCTTGAGCAGCGCAGAGATGATGTCACCAGAGCTGGCGGTGATCTTTTTAAGTCTTAATTTTGTTTTTAAATAATTAACGACGCTTCAAATATTTATGTTGGACACACAGCCCAAGGTAAAGACGTGCGGCGAGAAGATAACAGCTATTTGTTGTTGTTTTTTTTTGGGTTTAGTCTGGCTTCGTATGTATGTATGTACTTTGAGCTTCTTTCGCACTGTCCGTAGCCAACCGTGCTAACGTCACTCTATTACCCTGTTTCCACTGGCTTAAATGAGCCGAACCGAGCCAGAGTGGAGGTCCACAAGGTCTGGGTGGTTTGTTTTTTTCCACTGGCTACTTGCCAAGCGGAGCCGAAACCAAACTGTGATTCACTGGCCTATTTTGTTTTTACGTTTATCAGGCAACGGCCCACTGAGCTAAGCAGCTCTTTTTCCAGAAGCGCCACAAATGATACGCCAATTCGTTGGGCTATCACGTGGAAATGTATCGCAGCCAAATACTCTAAACGCACGTTTCTAAACGGTGGACAGAAAATCCACGCGACCACGGGGAGAGAGACGCACCAACTCCAAATATGCAAGTGTCAGGGTCGGGATCGAACCCACGACATCCTGTACACCAGGTGAGGTATGTAACATCTCGCCACCGTGGCACGCTGTCCTATCAAGAAGACAACTGAGTAATGGCCATGGGCCACTCACATGATCCATAGGCTTGAGATGGAAACCCACATAAAGACTGGCAGCTTTTAAGCTCAAAAGTCAAATTATTGCATGGGATCGGTTGCCCGGATTTGTCTCTATTCGTGTGTTTCTACCCCGTTGCACAATTGGAAGACATTTGTAAAAAAAAAAACACTCTAGAGGAGACCAAGAATAATATTTTAAAAAACAGAATTGTGACATGTTTAAAGGAACAGCGCTGCACGAGTCCGTGTTTCATCACTAAAAAGTCTATTGCGCAACTTCTGCAAGCGACCGCAGATGCATTAATAATATATGTGCCGCGCGCACACACACGCGCACACACACACACGCGCGCACACACACGCACACACACGCGCACACACACGCGCACACACACACGCGCACACACACACGCGCAAACACACACACGCGCACACACACACACGCACACACACACGCACACACACACCAGCGACGCTGCTGCCACGGGTGCCTGTAACGGCCGGATCGCCAGGACTTACCGTGTAGAGGTCGCCGGTTCCACTCCATCTCTTAGAGAGCTGGGTGTACGCATGTCACTTTGAACTTCTTTCGCGCCGTACCTACGTAGCCAACCGTGCTAATCGGAGCGAGCGGAGGGAGGTAGTGGAAGGACAATAAACTAAACACAAAAAGCGATTTCGATAGATGATTTAAAAGTGCTCAGCTCCAGCGGATTCCTAATATCGTGTGGAGCGTTCCAGACAGCCGCAGAAGCGCATTCGAACGAGCGCAATGCAGTGGCCGTTCTTGGTCTCTCTTTTTTACACGCTTTTATTTAACTCACTCTGTCTGTTGTTGTTGTATCCTCAAATCTTGTAGCTCAATTTTTATCCACTTCCCAATGTGGTATCGACTGCCAACTTGGTATACTTACGTCATACTGATGACAATACTATATTCTATCATAAAAAAATATCAAATATATTTATTTTTATATTCTTTTTTATATGTTATGTTTAGGCTTGGGTCTAATTGTCCACGCTCAACTGACGTTGGCTGTAATTGGCCACGGCCCCTTACGTTATGACAAGCTTCGGGGCCACTTCCTGGAGTCGTGGAGTTTTTCTATTACTAGAACATTTCATAAAAGTGTGTTTAATTTTTTTTTAATATTACTTATTTATAAGCTGAATGGAGTTAATAAACAATTAACAAACCCCACCTTGTGAAAGACCCCCCAGGGGTTTCATCATCCACGAAGCTCACGGTCCCACCCTAAACCGCATCCACTGCACAAACCATGTCACGAGATGCGGATATCCTGATGATGTGCAAATGGAACAACTCTCCGGTCATCCAAAACAGACCATACGATCCACGAACACGATGGAGACATCACGGCGATGATACAACTCCAAATCAAATCAAGATTGACACGACTCCGCTTTACTCCCGTCGTGGTTATCTGGGCTTGAACACCTGAATGTGAGATTGCGGTCATCGCTCTGCGTCTACATTCGCAGCCGTACGACATCAAGCACAAGAAGGCCACAGTCAGTCCATCGGCAGTTTGACGTGCGGTGGGGCGAGGTGTGAGCACTCGCACCTCCTGAAGGACGAGGACGATGAAATCCCCTCCAGACGAAGGCCACAATCAGAGATCCCTCTCGCGTGGAGGCTCTTCCACCAGCAGTGGATTGAGCAAGTCATTGCAGGGCTGCAGCTGTACCTCTACGTGCACGCGCACACACGCACGCACGACACGGTGATCCGAGCACGAAACATTCTCAAGAGCGAGATTTAAAAAAAATGTAATTCTGACTCAACGTGTATAATTACCCACCTTAGTGTCATGAACACTGACATTGGGGATTACGGCCGTGAAAAAAAAGTAATACCACCGTTCATTAATCCAACAATGTTGAGGATTCAGTCTATCAGACTTCAGTGTTTCGTCTCATCTACACCACCCTGCAGGTCACAACAACGCACAAACTCACCCCCTCATACACACACACACACTCAAATACTCACACACTCACTCACACACTCACTAACTCATTCACGCACCCACTTGCTCACGTACCCACTCACTCACACACCCATTCACATGCCCACTCACGCACTCACTCACTCAAAGACCCACTTATTCACATCCCCCACTCACTCACGCTCCCACTCACTCACCAATTCACCCACCCACTCACATACCCACTCGCTCATGTACCCACTCACACACGTTCCCACTCACTCACCAACTCACCACTCACTCACGCGCCCACTCGCTCGCTCGCACACCCACTCACGTCCCACACTCACTCACACACCCACTGACTCGCTCACCACACTCAAGTTCACAACAACAAACCCACGCACTCACCACACTGCAAGTCACCGCATTTCTTTATCCGCTGCTCTCTTCGCGCCGCTCGACTTTTCGAATTCCCTCCTCCCACTGTCTCTTTTCTCAAGGTCTCACAGCAATAACCTTGATCAATTTCAAGAAACGCATTCATTATCAGCTACCGCAAACGTAACAGCGGCTGTTTGTTGCTGCTGGTTTGGTTGTTTTTTTTGGGGGGGTGGGGGGAGGCGGGGGGGTCGGTCTTTTTGGCCGGTCCTCAAGAACCGTCATTTAAAAATAAAACATAAATCGGCGTCGTCTCATCATCACGACAAAGTAACGTGCTTCAGCGGGCCGTCTGGAACGCTCTGCCTCACAATATTAGGAAGCCAATGGGAGCAATGCACTTCTAAATAATAATTTCGATTGAAAGCTCATTTCTTCAGAACTGCTTTTTTGCGTTTAGTTTGTTGTCCTTCACCCGGCCCTCCGATTAGCAACGTTTGGCTACGTACGGTGCGAAAGAAGTTCAACATACAGACGAGCATACATACGTACGTCCCAGTAACGTACACAGCCCGTATACGCACAATGCTACACAAGCGGAAGTTTTTTTTCGTTTTGTGAGCGCAAGCAAAGTGTGCGCGCGTCGCACGGGGGACTAATCCTGTCCACGCAGCACCGTCCCCCAGCATCCGTGTCATTGGGGCGGCGTGCGCAACGTTCGAAACGACCTTCCTCGGGACACCAGCGTCGTGCGGGAGCCCTTGGATTGTGCTGCGGGGAACGGCGTCTCGCAGCCGAGCTAAGGTGGCGAGATGTTAACTCCCTCGCCTGGTATACGGGAGGTCGTGTCGATCGATCCCGAGGCCGCCTGCATGTTCTCGCTCCGCCCGTGTTCGCGTCGATTTTTCTCCGGATGTTCCCTCCACATTCAGCATGGACATGCGTTCAGAGTGTTTGGCCGCTAGAAATATCCGCGTGATGTGTATGCGTTGAACCTCTTTCGCACTGGAAGTAGCCAACCGTGCCAATCAGAGGTGCGGTGGAAAGACAACAAGCCATTTTCTTGGGTTTTTTCGGTAAAGTCACGTAGGTAAAAAATAATATTAATAAAATAAAAATAAAACACAAATCACGACGTTTCGGAGGCAACATAAGCCTCAGTCTTCAGGTGAAACCGTTACAGCACATTCGTTGCCTCCGAAACGTCGTGATTTTTATTTTATTTTATTTTTATTTTATTAATTCTTAATTTTTATTTTTTTACCTATGTGACTTTACCTAAAAAACCCAAGAATATGAATTCTTGCAGTCACGAAAGCTTCAAATCTAGGACAACAAGCCACTTAGCTGAGCTATCATGAGTGGCGAGATCGCTTCTGAAAAGAACTGCATAGCTCAGTGGGCCTAATCTGGTAAAATATAATACAAAGTTAAGTTATAGTTAGTTTATATGACTACAAAAACACCCCCCTCCCTCTGTTATTGGCACCTGATAGGCTCACAGTGATGACGTCACCGTTAATCTCAGACCGGAAACAGGAAGACTTATCCACAATTCTGGCAAGTCGCCTGATGAAGCTGGTTGCTGTAATCGCCAGGGACATGTCACGGTACTCACATTGTAAATGTTGTGGGTTTACTCTCCAATACACCTGAAGCAGTAACTAATTGCCACGAAGCAGTAACTAATTGCCACGAAGCAGTAACTAATTGCCACGTTTTGTTCGCGTGACGAACCTTATAAATTGCCTGTCGGGCGGCGGCGGCAGCGGGTTTACCGACACGTTTATAATTCTTCTTGGTTCTTTCGGTAAAGTCACGTAGAAGAGAAATAATAAAATAATACAAATAAAAATAATTATTATTTACGTAATTATTATTTTCTTTATTTTATTATTTCCCTTCTATGTGACTTTACCGACAGAACCAAGAAGATGAATCCCAGCAGTCACGAAAGCTTTAAATCGAAATTTAACGTTTATAATTCTCGCGATCTAACCCAACGCAAACCTTCATTATGGAGTTAGTTCATCGTATGGCGAGTGGCAGTGACGACGCCGTTGCATAACCCCGCAGCCGAGGTGGAAAGGTCACGGCAAACGCAAAGCTTTCCGCGCATGGCGGCGATGCTCAGAGAGAGAGAGAGCGACCGAGACTCCACGCAAGTGATGTGTTACTCACAGGAGTGTCGATGCAACGCTTCTTATTTTTTGGCTTTTCATGGCCCTGAGCCAGTGATGGAGATTCGCACATTCCTGTGGTGGAGGTGAGTCTATCTATAGGGCAGCCATTGAGGCGTGAGGATTATTAAGCGGTGTTGGATCAGCATCCCGGACCCCTGAGCACAACCTGCGAACATCAGATGCTGAAACCTGGATGGAAACCCAGACTCGAGCCGCTTCAGAGACATCTGGCCACATCGCCAGCACCGCCCTCATTGACGTTGACAATGACGGCGACGATGATGACAAAAGATGACCCGTAGCCACACGTGTGTCTGCACACGCACGCTGCACAGGGAATCATCTGCAAACAGCAAAGTGAACAAGTTTTGCACATCCCCGATTCACAGCGCCACCAGTCAGAAACTATAGACAAAGATTGCCCATATAGCCTCCACAGACCGTTGGGGCTAAATCCTGTGAGCGAGTTATGACGCAAAGTCGGTGGCGTGACCAGAACCACGCCCAGCCGTCTTTGTCTTCGCCTGTGCTCATGTTTGCACGCCGCTGCACCCCGTACTCAATTAAGGCTGAGTCGACCTAAGCAGAGGTCAGATATTCACCACTGATGTTAGCCAGTGCTGGATTAAGCTAGTGCGGGGCTTGTAGCATATGTTATAAAGGGGCCCTAAAAAAAAAAAACACGTAAATATTAAAGCACAATTTTTGTTTACTTGCATAGTATAGTAATTGTATTTTTTATTTGCTATACAGCCGGATAATACGACACATCGTTAACCTTAAACTCCCAGTCGTTCATAAAAGTTGAAGGCAGTATAGTACTATAGTAATAGAGCAAGTGCAGAATCACTGAACCGGAATTGATAGCTTTAAAGCATTTAGCGCGGGGCCCTTGAAAGTGCGGGGCCTGTAGCTACTACACATGTAGCTACTTTTGCTACGAGGATAATCCAGCAATCGAACTCGGCGGAGGGCAGTATGCTACGTACTACGCTACTGCTCCAAGAACAAATATCCCCCCCCCCCCGTATATTAACAGGCTGTTGGGTCAAGTTCTGTTTGTGAGGACCTATGAAGGCCGGCACAGCACACGACGGAGTGGGTGGCCAGCACCATGCCCGGCCGCCTTTGTCTCCCCAGTGCCGATAGTTTATACACCGCACCAGGTACTCATTTGAGGCTGAGTCGACCTAGGGGGAGGCCCACGACCGGTTCAGATAATTGTCACCAGTGTTGTTCTGGTCTGCGGGTTCGTAGCGCAGCTCGCTAACCGCTGCACTGCCACTCCGCACAGACACACGCCCACAACCACACACAGCCACATCCACGCAGCCAAGTGTAAAGATGTGAGCAGCCTATGCAAACAGCCATTAATAATGCGAGTGTCAGGCTAGCCAGCTGCACGGTCCAGTCACACATTCCCTGCCCTGCTCTCAGCAATAGTTCTCTACTTTCACACCTTAGCGCCACTCTATTTGGGAGTGGGGGGGGGTGTGAACTTCGGGGGGGGAGGGAGCGGCGGACGAATCCCAAATGTCAAAATCACGTGGCTGTACACTTCATACAAAAATGGCTCTGTGGCATTGGGAGTCCCAACGATTTCTGTGCTTCAGTAATCGGACGGAATTATATTATGCACATGCTACATTGTGCGTGGGTGGTGGGGGTGAAACGACATCTTTATCGTCGCGAGCCATGAAATATCCACTGCTGGAAGGATTACCCATCGCCTCTGCTGCTGTATGTGTGTTGTACGTATGCATTTCGAACTCCTGTCGTGCCGTACGTAGCCAACCGTGCCAATCTCCCACAGGGCCCCACTGAGCAAAAATCCACCCGGAGCCCGAGCGCGGGCAACGTTCATCGCTCCATCTCCGCGGTTCGCGTCCCGTCGGAAGCACTTGCTCCTTCGGCTGCCGCTCCACCGTGAAGCTACTCTTGACCATCGCCCATCGCCTCTACCACAGAGCGAGACGGCTCGGACGATGGCATGACCCTGCGCGTGTTCCCTAATCCGCGCGTTTCCCCCTTTTTTTTTAAACTCACGCCCGCCGCTTCCCTTTCCCTACGGTCAATAGGACGTCCCGATCTCGCGGTTGCGTCTCGGCTTAAAATTAATATCGTCGAACGGAAATGTGGCGCGATTGCCAAACGAGAAGGCTGAAGGGCTGCACAAGTAACGCGCTTCCCGCAACACTGGCAAAACGCTCGGTCATGCGACTCACAGTAAGAAGTTTCGTTTTGATTGTTTCTTTCATATGTAGCGAGCGACTTCAGAGACACGTCGAGTAGAATGCTTCTTGTTTAATAAAAGCTCACGGGGCGATGCGTTACGTAACGCAGCTACACTTGGGCGATCCTAACACATAACCCATCTCCGGCATACACTACGCTCGCTGTCCGACGAGCGCAGCGACGGAGAGGGTCTTGCAGAAGATCAGCCACGTGGTCGGAGACGAAGAGATGATGACGAACAGCGACGTAGCCAGGACCCAGGACCCGCAACAGCACCCGCACATCTGGTTCGGCCCCCCCTTATATACACCCCGGCGTGGCCAAGCCCCGCCTCTGGACACGCCCCCTTCCAGAACCTTCGAGCAGGTTCCCGTAGCCTCTGGACTGACTCTGCCTTTGACCTTTACTCCAGACACGCCCCCCTCATAATAAGGCATTACGCAATACCCCCATAACCGCAATTACCCCTTTCAGGCCGACAGGGGTCACCTTGTCATTACACATACGTACACGTTCTTGGCCGTAACGTACGCACAGAATACGTGTGCGCGCGCGTGCGTGCGTCCGCGCATTCGCGTGCATGGTGAGCGCTGATGCAATGGTTCACACACTCCACCACAATCCCTGTGACGGTGGGGGTTATTCCTCGCCACGCGGCTCACATCAGTAGCAAGTAATATCCGAACATGTTCTGGGCCTCCCGTGAGATGCACTTTAGCCTTTGACGAGTGATGAATGGTGAAGTGTGTAAACATCGCCACTAAGGAAGACAAAGGCGGTTGGGTGTGTTGCAAGGGGTTGTCCAAGCTGCGATGTGGTTCGGTGGTTAGCACATTGCGCTACGAACCTGGCGACCCGAGTTCGATTCCCGCTCATGGCCAACACCGGCGACGATTATCTGAACCGGTCCTGAGCCTCCCCTAGGTCGACTCAGCCTCCAATGAGTACCCGGTGCGATGTGTAAACATCGCTACTTGGGGAGACAAAGGCGGCCGGGCGTGGTGCTGGCCACCCACCCTCCTCGTGTGCTGTTCCGGCCTTCATAGGTGCTCTCTAACAGCACTTGTCCCTAAAGTATGTTAAGGCTATCCGGGGGATCTTTGTCTGAACGGCTGCAACCCACCCTGCCCCTTGTGTTGTGTCACGCTGTCCTGAACATGTGCTCACTAACGCTCACTTAACCCCAACGGGGATCTTTGCTCTGGTGCGGTGTGGACAATTGGGCAGCGATGTGCGCAGCGCTTGGCTGGGTAATCTCACGATGGATTCCTGGTAAAGACATCGAGAGGTTTCATCGGCTCCCAGAGCTTGCTTGGTTTCACCAAGGTCACCTCAGCCTCGTACTAATGCCGACTTACCTGTAATTGTGGATAAACACTGGAGAACACAAACGCACGTGAATTAAATTACAAAATCCTTGACCAAATCCTCTTAACTCCCTTAATTGCAACGTGGGTAGCGATCGAATGTGCAGGCGGTGGAACTGCAACGGTGGTGGGGGGAGGCAAAGGTGAGGTTGGGGGATAACGAAGTGGGGGTGTGTTTAAAAAGGGGGCCACTTAATTTATTGCACAAGACCGATTATATCCAGGTTAGGCTACTGGTATTTACGTGAGTATATTAAGTCTCTGTGAGTCTATGGGTCTCTGCGAGTCTATGGGTCTCTGTATGAGTCTATGGGAATGAGTCTATGGGTCTCTTGTACGAGTTTTATGGTTATTTTGTATGAGCCTATGGGGGGGTCTCTGTGAGTCTATAGGTCTCTGTGAGTCTATGGGTCTCTGTGAGTCTATGGTTCTCTTTGAGTCTATGGGTCTCTGTGAGTCTATTGGTCTCTGTGAGTCTATGGGTCTCTGTGAGTCTATTGGTCTCTGTGAGTCTATGGGTCTCTGTGAGTCTATGGGTCTCTTTGAATCTATGGGTCTCTTTCAATCTATGGGTCTCTGTGAGCATATGGGTTTATGTGAGTCTATGTGTCTATACGAGTCCATGGGTATTCTGTGTCAGTAGGGTAGCTTTTGAGCGTGCCGGCGGTACAACTGCACAGGGATTTAGGGGATTTGGGGGCTCTGAGCCAGGCCACGAAGAGAGGGGGGTGGGGGTAACGGGTGGTTGGGGGGGAGCTGCTAGAGGCCATTCCATTCCTTGCACCAGGGCCCATGCCAACCACGCCACGCTGCTACTGCCGTGGAGCAGCAGTAGCAGCAATAATTAACACAAAACACATCTCACTCTGCACTTGCGAGATATTATGGGCAATGATATAATTACACATACCTCCATTCATTTGAATACATTAAAACTTTCTATTTTAATGATGTAGTTTTGGTTCGGCAGCTTATCCATGTGAGGCTCTCCAGACCAATAATCGTCGAGATCGTCGTGGGCCATGATCTGTCCACAGCTGGATGAAGGCCTTACCTACCTCGAGGCTGGAACAATCCATCATACATCCAGGCAGTCCCTTTGCACCACGATTACCGCTGCAGTCACCCGCACCACGACTCTCGCCTTCGTCTGGCTTGCTGTGGAAAGAAAAGCGCAACGCGACGTCTGAAGCCATTTGACCAGGGGTTGGTGGTGGTGGTGATGTCCGTTTTTTTGTGCGTGGTGCGTGCATGTACACACATCCTCAAATGAGTACCTGGTACGGGGGTGTAAACATCGCCACTGGGGAGACAAAGGCGGCCGGGCGTGGTGTTGGCCACCCACCCCCTCGTGTGCCGTGGCGGCCTTCATAGGTGCTCGCGAACAGCACTTGCCCCAACAGTCCGGTCGGACTACAGATGTGGGATCTTTGTCTTTGTGCCCACGTGTTAGCAAGTAGCGCCTACGGCACACGAGGCGGTGGGTTGGCATAGCACCACGCACTTGCCACAACAGTCCAGAGGCTATACGGGGAGGGGGAAGAGCTTTGTATTTGTACACGTGTGTGTGTGTGGGGGGGGGGGGGGAGAGCGATGGCACAGACTAGGGGCCACAGGTGGTGCATCG